GTTTATAGTTGCTTGTTGATTTTGATTTTTACTTCATTATAATTAGTCTTTTTCCTGGTCTCTTATTTAGGTTTTCTAAATTCCTACTATGAGCTTGGGGTGGGGGGAAAAACCAAACCTGTGGATGCAGCTAAAGCTATGCTTAAGGGAGAAATTCGTAGAACGAAATGCATCTATTAAAAGAATACCTGAAAACCAATAATCTGAGCATCTACCTCAAGAAGTTAGAAAAACAACAGCAATTTAAAACAAAAAAGTAGAGTTAAGGAAAAAAATAAGGGTAGATATTAGTAATATAGAAATCACACTACCAACACACACATTCTATTGGACATCAATTCATTCCCCAAACAAATGGACAATGGAACAGAGCTGAGATTCCAAAAACAAATTCCCACACACACACAGATCCTCGATTTATGACAAAAGAGGTATTGCAGAGGGCCTCCCCGGTGGCGCAGCGGTTGAGCGCTGGGTTGCGAAGCTGCCCGCGGCCTCTGTGGCGCCGGTTCGATCCCTGGCTGCTCCCCGGCCACTGGAGGAGGGTCCCACATGGCGCGCAGACCTCTCCTGCCGCCCGCTGCTCCCCTCAGCAGTGTACTTCGGTCCTTCTGTCTGCTCTGCTCCCCGCTCTGGCTCTGGTGAATTCTCTCACCCTCCCGTGCTTCTGACTGTACCCAGTGCATGTATAAACAAAAAACAAACAAACAAACCAGCAAACAAATAAATAAAGCATGCCTCTATCAAAAAAAAAAAAAAAAAAAGAGGTATTGCAGAGCAAAGGAAGAATGGCCCATTTTCAACAAATGGTGCTAAGTTAAATTAATATCTACATGGAAAATATAAGAACCCTGACTCCTATCTCATATAATACAAAATACAAAAAAAAAATCAGGAATCAAGTAGATCTAAATATGAAATTTAAAAAATGAATCTTACAGAAGATTACATAGATTATTTCATGATCTACACATAGGGCAACAATATTTTTATACCAGACATAAAAACAATAACCATCAGTACCATTACATTAAAGTTAACAATTTTTCATTAGAAGGCACTAGTAAAAGACTAAAAAGGCAAACTTTAGGCAAAAATATTTATAATACATATAACAAAGCAAATGCTTGTATCTAGACTACAGAAAGGATTCCTATGAATCAGTATGGAAAAGACAGATGAGTTAGTCCAGGTTTTCTCACAAGCAGATACCAAAATGGGATTAAATGTACATGGATGTAATAAGGAAAATGCCCGGAGAGAAATTTAATCCACAAGAAAGTGTTTTTAATACTTTCAGCCTCATAAAAGACAGAAAATTTATCTTAAAAACTATTTGTTTATTATATTTCTGCAGAGAAGTGTTAGACTTTTAAACATAAAATAAATTACATTAGGACAAAATTCTGTAATAGAAGTAGGGCAAAATTAGGAATTCAGGGAGAAAAGGAACGGTGTAAACCTCACAGTTTTCATCTTAAATGACATGGAAGGGAATGCATTTACCTGGCACTGACTAGTTTACATTTTCT